GCCCCCCCCCCCTATCTCACTAACTCTCTCTCTCTCTCTCTCTCTCTCTCTCTCGCACTCACACACTCTGAACATCACAACCCCTAATTAAACGTGTGGCACTTCGTTCAGGTGGATGTGACCGTCCTGGTTGTGCGCTCTCCAGTCAGCCTACGGTCTAGGAATTTTAATTTTCCAGGATAAAAGCAGTTTGGGGAATTTTTTAGAGGTTTCGTTTAGAGTCTTGAATATATTGTTGTCTAGAAAAGTTTCCAATTTTTACGGAAAGTTTTCAGACTTTAAAGTAATCCATACTGCAGCCAGTCGGCCGTCGCGGACAAGCAGCACGAGGTCCAGCGTGCCGGGGGCCCTCTCGTCCACCACCCCGAGGGTGTGGTGCTAGGGGGGGGGGGGGGCACCGCCCTTAGGGCGTCGGGCCAAGAGGCCAGGCGGGCGCAGGTTGGGGTGACTTAGGGACACTCACCGGGACACGACTCTCCTTCCCCTGGTCCTTGCTCTACCGCCGTGTTCCCCCCGCTTCCCCCTCCCCCTCCTATCTCTTTTCCTTAAGGTTCGTTTTGACACGGTTCGAGGGGGAGGCGACCCCTCATAGGGTGCGATAGGCGACGGCGGACGACCCTTTTGATAGATCGTTTGTTACAAGAATAATATTTTGAGGGGGTGGTTCCCCGTAAGGGGGTTCTGTTCCTGCATACGCCAGCACCATTTGGACATCCACGCCTGTTTGAAATTGCCCTTAAAAGTCCATTTATTTTCGCCCTCTCTTTCGCATTGAAAAAGAATGAGAAAAAAAGACGATCTAAAATAAATTAAATCCCGCTGAAGGACTGATTTGCCTGTAAAATATGCCGATGACGTTACTGACGTTGGAGGAAACGCTGAGCAAGCCTCCCTTTCCGCGTAATTTATAGCAGTGTCCATTTGTAAATATTTGTCTAAAAGCGCCGTGCCGTACCTCTTCTTGTCATTCAAATTCCTCTTACCCTGCAGCGACGGAAGAAAAGGCCTCTTTGCGGCCGCCCCTCTCTCCGGGTCCCTCTCCGAGCTCAGGGCTCCGCGGCCACCTGCCGCACCCTCTCCCGGTCTCCAGACCCACCCGAATTCACTTTGGAACGCCAAGTCGATTCCTCGGCGGGTCTTCACTGCACCGCGCGTCCCGCCCGCCCCGCCCCGCCGGACCCTTGGGACGGGCATCCCACCCCATACACCGGCCCTGGAGCTACACACGGAATGTTTGATGGACACTGCTCAAAAAAAATAGCACGAAAAATGCGAACTTTTTTCATATTTTGCTTTTTTAGCGCGAAAGGAAAAGAATTGTGTTGCGCAGTGTCCGCTGGAAAGCTAGCCCGTGACAATATATCGTTTGAATGGCAGTCGCTGAGGGATAGGGGACTCGGTGGCGGCGGATATACTCTACTTTGACGAGCTGTCGATCGCAAACGATAGAAAACGTAGACGTGTTATTTACTTTTTTAACCTTCTTTTAAAGGGCTCGCTTCTTTGTTTAGCCTGTGGGTGTTCTCTGCAAATCTAACTACATATAACAGGATTACAGTTTAAATTGCGAAACTAAAAGTCTTACAGTTTAAACTGCGAAACTCACAAGTTCTACATTTTAAACTGTAAAACTTTTAGTTTCGAAGCTTAAACTGTCATCTTGTTGTACCGTTTGATTTGTAGAATACAGTATGTGCCTCGTGAAACGTTATCGGTACCCACGCCTACGACCCGCTGACCTCCGGTGTATCGAACCGTTTCGCTGTATATGTCGCACGTGTCAGTCGCGTATGGCGCGCCCCGCCGGCCAGGCCACGCGCCGTCAGTCTGTGAGTAAGTGTCAGACTCCTCTTCCGCGCACCCAGACCTCGTGTGTCTGCCGTTACGAGGCGGCGACAATGTTGTACAGACGGGTATCATCTCATCGGACACATGTGTGTCCTCATCGTAGAATTCTCTCTCTCTCCCTCGCCCTCTCTGCCTCTCTCCCCCCTCTCTCCCCTCTCTCCCCCTCCCCTCCCTATCCCTCCCTCTCCCCACCTCACTTCGTCCTTGCGGAGACGTTAGGCCCGTGTCCACGTGTGTGCATTTGTGCACTTGACACTTGACATGCACATGTCGAGCGAAATTCAAATTCATAGGCCGTATTATATGCAGAAGTGCATGACGGACTGTCTGACGAACTGAAGTGGGCTTCATGGCGCTTGTCGGGGCCTAGAGAGCAGCGCAAGTGCCCGCGGCCGTGACCTTAGTTCTGCGCCCGAGTTCTGCACAGAGAGCATGACGGTGTCTTTGGTTTCTCAAACGGATGGAAAGAGCGTCAAAACTGCACACGCAGTAATTTACTCCCAGGCCAAATTATTTGCATCGTTGCGATGCGCTCTCAATCTTTAAATTATATAACACACTTGTCTGAAAAATCCCAATAAACCAAACAATTGGTTTGTATTTCGAACTACTCGTTCGTAAGATTATAGAAGTAGTTCGCAGTGCTTCGAAATCGTTTGCAAGCAGCAAACACAACACGAGTTAGTTGCACAAACACCATCTCGCAATTTCGAACCTCTCTCCGCTCCCATGACCTGTGCATTCCCTTTTCATCGCCTGTTAAATAAATGAGAGGATGGAACTCGGTGGCCGTTTTCCCTGGTCGCCCGGGGCATTAAAAAATAAACAAGTTTTGAATACTTGACATTTGCCTGCACTTAGCTCAAACAGTTCTTGCGTAACAACTGGAGATGAACAACGTTTTATCCGCGAGGAAGACCGACTGCTACCAACAAGCATCAGAAAATA